AAATTTATATAAATAAATATTTTTAATATAAAATTTTTTTAATTTATGACATAATCTTATTTAATACAAATTATTTTTTATTGACAATTTATTTTTTAAATATTAGAATTTAATTTATTAATAATTACGATAAATAAAAATTGACTTAAATAAAAAATTTCTAAAATTCTTTAAAAAGATTGTCAAAAAAAATTCTTAAAATATTCTCATGTAACATGATCATATTTGTATTTTATATATAGGAATTGATTAAATTAATTTTTATCTATTTAAAAATATTATTATTATTATTATTTTGTTCTTGTAATTTTAATAATTTTTCATTATACATATCTTCATATTTTTATAAAATTTTTCATTATCATCGGAAAGATTTCATGTCATTATCGTTAATTAGTGTATATAAGATATTTCATTTTGTGTATTTTTAATGAATAAAATAAATTAATTAAGATTGAATAATAGTTTGTGATTAATAATAAAAATGATTTTTGGTAGTTTATAAACAGTAAAATGAGATATAATATAAAAATTATAAAGACAAAATAGTAAAAAAAAATTATATACGTCAAAACTTTATTATTAGTGAGATGCGTAGATAATGAAAAGGCACGTATTTTTTTTATATTTTACTAGTGGAGTTGAAGTATTTCGTGACTCTATATGTATTTTATCTTAGAATTTAAAATAACTCATTTATAAACTTTAAAATGGTATTTTTTTTAGTAGAAAATAGTATATTACAAAGTCTAAAACAAAATAGCAAAGCCAAATTATTTTTTACAAGAGTCATCTTAAAAATAATAATTCATAAAGACTAAAATAAAATTAAGTAGCAATGCAACTACAAGTGTATCTAAGCTAAATTTTATTAATTTATATTTTTAAAGAATATTTAACATTTTTTTTTAATTTTAAAAGCTAATATATTCAACATGCAATGTTTGTCTTTTTATTTAAAAAAATTATTAAAGTTTTAAATATAAATAAATTTCAATTACATATATATTATTCAATAACACTTCCTAAAATATTATTTTTTTAATGTATAATCTTTCGAACTATTTTTTTACATTTATAACAAAAATAAATTATGAATAATATCACAAAATTGGTAAAATTTAATACAAATAATTGTTTTTTAAATATACATGAAATCATTTTTTTGTTTTGCTTATTATAAAAATTAATTTTTTTTGTTTTGCTTGATCAATGCTTTGTAATATCAAAAGAAAAACCTAGGCCTACATTGTACATACAGAATACAGAAACATTAATTTTAATCTTCAAGTTATATTTTACTTAAATGAAATATGAACCCATGAACACACTTGACACCATGAACACCTATTGAAAATTGATTGAAATCAGAAAACCCATGAACATAAAGTCAGTCTAATGACATGTAAGAAATAAAACAACTGAACCAACACAAAATTAAAACCCACAAACTCATAAATCAAAAAGATTTCATCTTTATCAAAAAAGAAAGCAATCTTTCTTTTCTTTACACCATTGACACCCACCAAAGACTGATTGAGACATGAACACTCTTAAAATTTCACGTGAGGAGTAGCAACAATAGAAGCTAAAGCAAGAATGAAAAAACTAAAGAAAATGAATTTTCCAAGAATGAGAAAGGGAACATATTTACTGAGAGATGTAAAAGAAGGGAAGAAACAAGAGAATTAAGAATGATTTGGGTATCAAACAATAAGCGAGTGAAGAGCATTAGGTGGGAGTATATTTTTATGTGTCTCATAGGACCGAGACAACTCCAGTTAATTGATAAGTTCTGACAGTGACATTTAAATTAAGCATTTTTTCCTATCTTAAATTTTAATTTTTATATATTATATAATTATTTATATTATTTTACAATTCAATTATATTTTATTAATATTTTAACTTGTGTAATATATGGATAATATTTATTTTTTGTTATAAAATTTATAATTAAAAATTGAAATGATTAAATAAATAACTTCTATATAAAAATTATATTTTTAATTTATTATAAATAATTCATATTATTATATAAAACTCTTTTAATCATCGAATTATTTTAAAATATATATTAAAATTCAATTTAGAAAGGTGCCAAATGTTCT